GGCAACAAGACGCACTGTCACTTCAGGCTCTGTCACTTCAGGCTCTGAGAATACCCACAAATATTAGATATTCACTCCTCCAATTAATCACGGTTTAAGGACCAAGTGTGTCCAGCATCAGAACATGATACAATTTAGGTGGTCAGCAATAATGTCATGTGTTTCCCGACGGCTATAAATTTTTGCTGCTTTTTCAACACTCCAACGTGTTCTAAAAATGCATCAGCTAGAAAACACAACTTCTGGTGCACATGCTGCAGTAAATATTTTTTCATCAGCTGAGCCTTCAGAAGTTTTTAGAGTAACTCCTTGCAGTCCTGTAAGCAGGAATTAGATTCACAACGAACACTCCGGGTCATGCAGACTGGATTTTTGAGTGATCAATTAATGACAAATGGTATCATAATGACTAATGGGGAAATAAACACGGTAAATGTGTGTGTTCTCCTTTTGTGTATCTTAATGCTCCAATTAGTGTGTAGTTTGAACCATGCCTTACTCTCATAAAAACAGCAAACACTATGGAAATTTTGTCTTAAGTTTTATTATTTCTGGAAGAAACCATTAAATTTTTATTATTCTTATCCTAGCTTTGTGTGTGTGATCTCTTGGTAATTCTGAATTGTGACATGTAATTTAACTTTATTGCTAAATATTGGTCGAAATAAATACATGTGTCTAAATATAAAAAAACAAGGTTGCCAAGTTCGCAAGCATTGTACGTGGTCTCTCCTGCAGTACACCATGCTGATGCTAGTCAGTCATTTTCTTGAAAAAATTAAAATACACAAAAGTCTTTCTTCCAAAACGTTTACCCACCTTCATTGAACAGACAGACCACACCTGCATCTTCACTATGGCCACAGTTCTCAACTTCCCAGCCTGGATTGGGGCAATCTACAAGTCTGCTCTCTGTGCCAGCACAAGCAACATTATCCAGGAAGATAGGGCCCTCGCCTTCAAAATAAACACGTTTATGATGGTTTTCATCGACACTTTCTGGTTCGTCTCAGGCACAAAAAACATTCTGTTTTTTTAAGAACTTACTTATTTATCCCAAACACCACATTAAGAAAATTTTAGGTTTTACAATTTACAGCTTAACTCTCCTGTGCGATCTCATCTGCTTCTAGTGTTCAAGTATATCACCAGGGAAACTTAAGGCTAGGCGATTCATATGCCCCAAGGTGTACTGGCCTCTCCAAAACTGCCGATGAAACACCTGGTCTTTCCGATAAATAAGTGGCCAATGGCTCCTGTCTCTAATTGATTGACAAACAAAGCCACTAATTTTGGTCCAAGGCAGAGAAAATGGTTTTCGTTGGAGAATAAACAGCCCTTGTGTTTTATAAGGCATTGGCATGTATTAGTAGGTAGGTTTAGCATAGTTCCCGATAAGCTGAATGTCGTTCCTGTACTGCGATGAAAATTAAAACTCAATTCTACACCAGCACACCTTCACCAAATTCAGCAAAACTTGCAGCTCTTACAGCCCCTTGAGTGAATCCCAGCTGTCTGCATACCACATTGGCATCGTCAATGTCCCAGTAGTCATCGCAAACGGTCCCCCAGACGCCGTTATGGTACACCTCGACTCGCCCCGTGCCAGGGTCCGGGCCAATTAGTCGTATGTTGCTCACATCTAAAGACAAAGCAGAGCAAACATAATCATCTTTTTCCTGTAATGTCAGTTTTTCAATACATTACGATAAAACGATGGTAAGGAATAAAGGTCCATTTCGACTGAGTTCAACACAGACAGGCCATTTTTCCTAAGTGTTGGAGAAAAGTTGTTAAAAATTGTTTCAGAAAAAAACCTATACCGCAAACACTATACATCCCTTTTGCAGTTTTGACATTTCTAGCTGAATATAATTGTGGCGGAAAACCGAAACTGGGTTTCGATACTCGCACCGGCCAAGTTATTTATTCAAGCCTAAGCGCACGGGCAATATGATCCAGGTCCTAAACCTCCGGAGTTTTCATCACAGCGGTTTGGTATTTCTTGGTCTTAGACGGCGTTTGCTTTCTTAATATATAATTCAACTTTCTTTCCAAAAATCCTTGACTCCACGAAAACCTGATTCTCCATCACTAGTTCGTCCGAAATTACTCTTTTACTCCTCCTCAGATTCTTGATAGCTATCAACAATAAGTATTACAAGTACACCCAGGAGCTACAACCCAAACAAGTTGACAAGGGTATTAGTTTACCGTGTGTTCCCATTGGATTTAATATTGTAATTCTACAGGAAAGTCCCAGTAAGTTAATCAAAAAAGTCCAATGGTAACACAATTTTAATAATTTGTAAATGTCCGAATGTACGAAGGAAACAACTCCTGCCACAATTGATGATTCTCTCAACACAGTTACCACCCAGATTCCAGGCCTGTCATGTATTGCAGTAGTGTCAACTACAGCCCCAACCGATGAAATCATCACTGAACAACTTGCTGTCTCAAGTAATTCCTTGATGAGCAACGAATGGATAAACACCATCTTTGGGGTTGTATGCAATAAACCTGTGCGTACATCACTTTCTGTCTTTTTTCTTAGTTAAAATCCTTCGCAGGCTGGGCTTACATAACTGAAGTGTTACTAAATGCAGGCAGACAATGCAAGGCTACCAAAGTGGCTGACTGCAACTTACCAGTGCCAACACCATTGATCTTTAAAAGCTACCTGCTCATCATGCACTTATATAAGTGCACTAAAAAGACACCTTCGCGGCTTGATTTCTTAGGCCTCCAACTGAAATTTGTAAAACCGTAGGCCTATTTGCCATTAATTTACAATCGTCATTCACATTCAAATTAGATCAACGTCCGATTTCAGGCACGAGCTCATTCTTCATTTTCCGGAGACGTCCTATTAATGGCATTCATCCCATCTCCGTTCTTTTACAGTTTGTCAACTCCAGTGCATGTACAAAGTTTATCATGCCTTGTTTGCCAAAAAAAATACAAAAATTAAAGAAAAGAGCTTTGTCCTCTGCCGTATGTTCTTTCATGACACCCTTTCTCAATCATGAGTCTGGCTTAAATGTCTCTCAGTCCAGGAACCATACTCTCCACATCCAGGTGCACACGATGAACTAGCTTTATAGGCAAATCCTCATTCTTCATGCTTTGCAACAGACAGCTTTGCACTCAAAATTAAGCACAACATAAGAAGGTCATAGGGCCAGTACATAAGCAAAGCACTTGGAGGGTAAGGGATTGCCTTCAACAAGGACAAATAAGCGATACAAGAATACAACACATTCAACATGGAAAAGCCTTTTTTCCAAGTCCTACCCCGAGGAAGGTTGATACGTATCCAAATTGAATACAGTGTTCCCTTTGTAGTTTTTCGTGTCTGTCAGCAGCAAGCCACTTGGGCTGAGATTCATTCGGTTAGTGCGCATAAACCACCATCTTGTCCATAGGCCTATACGTACCAGCACAGAGGCAAACCACTCCTGCATCTTCCCCATGCCAACAGTTTTCCACTCCCCAACCGCTGTTAGGACAGTCTTCCAGTCTAGATTCGTCTCCTGTACAGGCCACATCGTCCAGTAGAATCTCTCCTGTACCTTGCCCGAACCTGGCTTCGGGAACAGCCTCCTCGGCACTTGCAAACCCGAGCTGCTTGCAGACGACGTTAGCATCATTGAGATCCCAATCATCATCACAGACAGTGCCCCATTCGCCTTGGTAGAAGACCTCCACACGTCCTTCGTTGTCATTCTCGCCACCAACAAGCCGCAAGCTGACTGGTTCTGAAAATGGAAGCAAAGAGTTTAACTTACGATCTCTCAGTGCATTAACACCAATTAAGCTCAGGAAAACATATCTATTTATTAAAGATTTATAAAGACTTCAGCATAGATCTACAAGTACAGCTGGTACACCAATGTTCCAGATCATCGACGGTTGCAGATCACTTGATTAAAAATATTGTGAGTTACCTCTGGTTACTGACCCCCCTTCTTTATAATTCTAAATGTCACTTATGTTAACAGTCAGGGCTATCAGTGATGGCCTTAAATTGAGATTGGCAGCAAATTTGCCTGTGCCCTCACTTCGGATCTCTTCTTCGGAAGCTGACTGGCTAACATGCGCCCATATGGCTGTGCATAAACAAGACACCTTGTTTTGAGGGTCTTCAAAAGTAGCTTTCACAACATCCAGTACTTGACAATGTGCTTCCGAGTTTTGTACCAATATCGAGTGATTACTAAGTGATTTGTGTATTACAGAATAAGCAAATTTTTACCTGAATGCCCAGTATGAATAAAAATAAAGTGAGTTCTCTGAGTTCTGATAACTCACAAGTGTTGAGGCACAACAGCCCACTGTAATTAAGATTGTGAGTCTCCAAGAGAGTCTTTATTATGCATTTTCCAGTCTCAATAGACATTCAGTGGCTCTCCCAGGTAACAATGTGTCCATCTTTTAATGAGCGTTCCATAACATGTAAACAGGAATGAACATTGCTGCCCAGTCTGATTCAAATGCAGACTATTTTTTTTCAGTTTTCATGTTCGTTATGGCAAACTGTACGACCACAAGGGAAAGGCTACAAATACGTCTTGTTCCCTGAAGCGTGTTTGCCTACTCACGTGCGTATATAATTTTTATCATGTCTTGTTTGCATAAAACCAAAAATTTAACAAGAGAGCTTTGTCCTCTGCCGTAATTTTTTTCAAGACATCAAGACAATCGCGAGCTGGTCTCTGTGTCCAGGAACCGTACTCTCCACACCCAGGTGCACATGACGGTCAGTAGGTTGTGAACCAGATCCTCATTGTCCACGCTTTGCAACAGACAGATTTGCGCTCAAAATATGCAAAATGTAAAAAGGTCATGAGGTCAGTCTGGTTAAGAAAGTGTGCCGCGAGGCCCTTTCCAAACCCGGAACAACAATCACGGCACTTCAGAACAACTTGGGTGAGAAGGGCACCAAGGTTTTAACGCAGACAATCCGCCGCACACTGCACAAGGAAGGTCTACATTGGCATCGTCCAAGAAAGACCACTCTCCTCACTCACAGGCATCGAGAAGCTCGACTTGCATTTGCCAGAGGGCTCCGAGAAAAGAATCGTAGTTCTGTGGTCAGACGAGACGAAAATGGAGCTTTTTGGCCACAGAGCTGTTTCCTTCGTTTGACGCAAGAAAGGTGAAACATTCAACCCAAAGAACACCGTGCCAACCTTAAAGTTCGGAGGTGGGAGCATCATGTCGGGTTGTTTCTCTGCAAGTGGGCCTGGCAATCTCGTAAAAGTAGAAGGAAGTACGAAGAAGGAGAGTTACATCCAGATTCTACAGGACAATCTCAAGCAGTCAGCAGAAAATCCCCATCTCGGTCCCAACTGCCAACAGGACAGTGATCCTAGACATACGGCAAAGACAGTCAAGAAATTGCTCCAGGATTAACAACGTGGAGGTGCTACCACCGCCACGCCAAAGCCCAGACCTTAATCCAATCGAAAACCTGTGGAAAACTCTCAAAGACCAAGGTGCATGCCCGCAGTCCCTCCAACCTGGAATAGCTACAGGTCTTCGCCAAGGAAGAATGGGCCAAGATCCCCGTGGAGCTGTGCCAAACCCTCATGAACAACTACACAACCTGCCTGGATACTGTTATCAAGAACAAGGGCTTTACAATTGACTATAGTAACTGTGATATTAACTCTTTTGGGTTGTCACGAAGTGAGATTAGTTTGTTCAAGAGAAATAACTCTTATTCTATTTACGCATGGGAGCCAAACATATAAGATGACATGAGTGTGCGTTGAAAGAAACAAATTGTTGATTTTATTTGGCCAGTGTTTCCATGTAGTATTTTATTTAGTTTTAGTTTCGCGGGAAGAACAGACAAACCCCATTGGATAGCTCGACTCTTGCTTGAGTAAGTCCTTTATTATGAGGTCACCAGGGTCACACAACAAAAGGACTGAGGGTGTCCCAGATAGAAATTTGGCAGGGTTTTAAAAAAAATTCGGGGTGTAAAGGGGACTTGCGTCGGAGAGTCCGAGGAGAGGGCACGTCTTGCCAGCCCCGATGGCAAGAGCTTAATCAGCCTCGAACTTAATGATTGGAAGCTAGTGAATCGGTGAGGATAAATTCCGACCGATACGCAAGGCGGAAAAATAAAACTACTCGAGACGCAAGATTTCCCAAGAACAAGGTGTCTACGCAACCTGGTTCTACTCTGGGTATGGGACTAGCAGTACGATCCAAGGGCTGGCCAGAGACTCAAGGAACAACTCAAGACTCGGGGTCAACTCAAGACCGCTGCACGAGAGAGAAAGTCAGGATGGTGCCGCGAAGGCTACTCTGCGGTGAGACAGCCCGAGAGTTCCTGGCCAAAACGTGAACCAGTCATCGCTGCAGTGACAGAAAGGATCCTTTAGAATTTTACGTTCAATTTAAATTGTGCAACTACTGCGTTCAAAACTTCAAAAGTCCTGGGCGTATTTCATATCAAGTCATATCAACAAAACTGTAAATATTTTCTTTTAACAAACCATAATAAATTTGTAACTAGGTCTCTGTAAAACAGAAGATCTTGTATCAGGTGTCTTATTTTGCGTGAAAGTGCAAATAACTGCCGAAGGTTATGTCCACGGGGTTAGGGTAACCGGGGGATGTGACATGGGTAAAGGGCATGAATAAGTCTGGACATGTCACAATTTAAACAGTGAAGCATTCTCTTTGTCACGCAAATGAGGTAAAACCAAAGCCATTAGTCATTTGCACCTGACAGCTAAAAGTATTCAATTATATATGGCCCAAATCTCATATGCCCACCTCTCATTCTTTAGGTCACGACGTCTTTAGAAAAAAAATAATAAAATTTATAAGGGGTATGAATAATTTTGTCGTTAACTAAGTCATCTAATGAGCCCATTAAGATTATCTTCTTTTGTTTCGTGGACAACTTCTCCTGGAATAAGCTTCAATTTTTGCTAGGACATGAACTTACCAGAATTAAGGCAAACCACTCCTGCATCCTCCCCATGCCCACAATTCTCCACTCCCCAACCTCTGTTTGGACAGTCTTCCAGTCTAGATTCATCTCCTGTACAGGCCACATCGTCCAGTAGAATCTGTCCTATACCCTCCCCGAACCTGGCTCCAGGAACAGCCTCTGTGGCACTCGAAAATCCGAGCTGCCTGCAGACAACGTCAGCATCGCTAATATCCCATTCATCATCACAGACGGTGCCCCATTCGCCTGGATAGTAGACCTCCACACGTCCTTCGCTGTGATTATCACTGCCAGCAAGTCGCACGGTCACGTCAGGTTCTGAGAATGCCAAAGAAATATTGCAGTTGTGTTTGTTTTCCAATATTCTCTCAATGTTGTAACAGTGTGAGACGTAATAGGCAGTTGTTTTCAGCAACACAGCATGATACTATTGAGGAGGTCAGTGTTTCCCAGTGGCTGTAACGTTTGGCTGCTATTTGTCCACTACCAACCTGTTTTATAAAAAAAATCATCAAGCGAGATCGCACTGATACAAAACCAAAGAATGGTCTGTGTCTTGCTTTTTGTGCCAAAAAGGGAAGTAACTTTTTGTTCCGTCAATGTAAAATGGAATTATAATTACAGCCAACGATCCAAGTCATATGCAGACTGAGGTTTGAGTTTGTGAGTGATCAAGTAATGCAAATAGTTCCACAAAACCATAAGGGAAACAAGGCAAATATGTGTGTTCCCCTCTAAGTGTGTTCTCCTAATGCAATACATGTGTGCTTTTCATCAGGCTGTACTGGCATAACAAGAACAGCGAACAATACAGCCATTTTACATGTAATTTTACGGGGGATGAACTTTTGAACTTCAGTTTTTTCTGTTCTGGCTTTCTATGTATGTGGCCCTTTTTAATTGTGATGTGTAATTTAGCTATATTGCTAAATATTGGTTGGAATAACGATTTGAATAAAACATTATATATTTTTGTAGCGTTCACGTGCATTGAACAGGATTTCTTCGAAAGTAAATAGTGTCTATAAAACTCTGGCAATAGGCATATTTCTTGGAAACAACTTTGAGGCGCCAGACCTCGGGTGGCTGCGGGTGCAAGTGTGGGGCAAGACAGAATCGCTGCGGGGTGCAAATGATCCTTCGCTTTCCCTGGGTTATGGTGCGGAGTCGTAGAATGAAACGGTTGATCGCCCTGTTTACGTGACAAAATTTTGTGGGTGCAAACGTGGGTGTAAGCACCTTTTCAGTGGGTGCGCTTGCACCCACATGACACCACGTAGCGCCGCCACTGCTCCCAAAACCTTCACCTACCTTCATCTGGCAGACAGACAACGCCAGCATCTTCACTATGACCACAGTTCTCAACTTCCCATCCAGGATTGGGGCAATCTACAAGTCTGCTCTCTGTGCCAGCACATGCAACATCATCCAGGAAGATAGGGCCTTCGCCTTTAAAACAAACATGGTTGGGCCCTATGATGATTTTTATCAACACCTCGTCACGGGCAAAAACAATTTCTAGATCTTCTAAAAGAACTTCCTTGGCAACAGTCTTGCTTAGTTATCTCAAGCACAAATTCTTGCTCACTCTTGAGGCTTTACAATTTACAGCTTAAATCCTTTGTATGATGACACCTGTTCCTATTGTTAAGGTGAAACACCAGGGAAATATAAGCGATTCGTGTGCCCCAAGGTCTACCTGTCCTTTCCAGAAATCACTTTGTCCTTTGCCGTAAATAAGTGGCACCAGACTCCTGGCTTACAATAAGTAACATTGATAATGTGCCAAGTTCATCACCTATTTCTAGGTGTTGTACATAGAAAACATTAACTTTGATCCAGGTTTTTAGAGGTGGAAAAATGTTTTTCATTGAAGCACAAGTTGCCTTTGCATTGGACTGCATTTTTGGCTCAGCATAGTTCATCGATAAGCTAGACACCTTTTCTGTACAGCGATGCAAATCAAAACTGAATACCGCAACAGTGTACCTGCACCAAAATTGGCACCAGTTGCTGCTCTTGCAGCCCCGTTAGTGAAGCCCAGCTGTCTGCACACCACACTGGCATCGTCAAAGTCCCAGCCGTCATCGCAAACGGTCCCCCAGACGCCGTTGTGGTACACCTCAACTCGTCCCGTGTTGGGGTCCCGGCCAACAAGTCGCACATCTCCCTCATCTATTGACAAATAAGACAGGAATAGTTTTCTTAATCCTGTCAGCTTGTCAACACATAATTAACAGTACAGGCGTGGTAATGAATACAAAGTGCTATCTCGACCATGCGTTAAAGGAGTTGAACACAGACAGGCCATTTTTACAAGCCAATCACGAGAAAAATCGTACAAAATCGGCATCTCAAACGGTATGCACCCCTTTGCAGTATTTTACATTGATAATTTAATCAACAATATTTTCTTTATTTTTAAAACGCAATTTCATACAGACATGTTAAAATTCACTATACAATAAAGATACGTAGTCAAGCGAATGGCATACAAGGGGGCCTCAGGCAGCCGCCAAACGACCCACATCCACCTACATCAGGAGGGAGGAAAATCCCAGAGAAGAAATTTCTGGATAAAACCCATGAAATCAGGTAGGGACTGAAAACCCATGCCACAGAGGTACAAGGTGAGGAAAGACCTACTTCGCCAACCCAAACTGTGGAGGAATATAAGTATGACAGCAGAAACTGAAACTGGATTTCGATATTTTTAAGAGGTATTTTTGCGTTGGGAGATGTTAATTATATATAACAGGTTTTGCCCTTACCCAACGTATATTAATAAGCACTGTATGCTCAGTGCTTGTCCGAGAGCTTGCGAAAAACCTTTTCTTTTGCTTATTAATATACGTTGGGTAAGAGCAAAACCTGTTATATATAATGGATTTCGATACTTGCGCCAGCCATCAAGCCTAAATTTGTGGGCAAAACTGTCCATGATAGCAATGCCACCAGGCAGGAAATTTCTAGACACTAAACCTCTGGAGTTCGATCCTACTACCCGTTTTAGCATTAGAAGGTTTGCTTTCAAACTCCTTGACTCCACGAAAACATGAAAACTCGCCCGGAATTAACCCAAACTCTATACTCGTCTGCTCAATAAGATAAGATAAGATATTAACGATAAGCAGTACAAGAATCCAAACAACCAACGCAATTCGCCACAATGAAAAATAAACTAAAGAAAACTTCTACTCATAACAGAGTTTTCATTCATCCAAAAAAGTAATTATCATCCTGAAAGATGCAACCTAAACATGAAGTCAATCTTCAGTTCTAATCCATTCAATGATGCGGTGATCTGGGACATTTTCAACACATTAATCGGTTTGCATTATCTTCTTTTCTTTATAGCTTTCAAGTGTACAAACAAGTTCGTAAGTTAAAAACCCCAAAAGACAGTATTTTGAAGACTTATCCGTTTGTGTGTTTTGGGAGCTGGTTTTTAAGTTGATTCCTCCAACTGATATTCTCAAAACCTAGTTTGATCAGACGCAAATTCCTGAAGAGTGAAAACGCTCTGAAGGGACACCCATCCCTAAAGTAAATCCACCCTGAACTTAAACTAATAGTTCTTACCAGCTGTTTTGCTGACATTACTGACACTTAGAAGATGACACTGACAAGATTTACAATAACCAGTTTGGAAATCAACGCAAATTGTCGGCATGTCACATTGTTTGGTCCAAGTGCCTCATTCGTTTACTGAGATAAGTTACTGTCCACTACTGTATACACCAAGTATGCTTTTCAACAAAAACTCTTGTCGGTTATTTTGGGTAAGTGCAAAATTTTATGATGGACTACGTATGGTACATGTACATGATTATTGTAATGAAAATGTTTTGTCGGCCCTAGTTCAAAATGATTTCAGATCTTGAGACGGTAAAAAAAAAACTCATTGTAGTGGATAAACCCTTATGCATGCCAAACTATGCATGTAGCCAAGAACAGAAAAAAGCCGTTTTAGCTTGTTACAATTGAGCACTGGAGACAAATGACACTGCGTTCGATTTGGATGCTTCCATATTTATTTGAACAGATAAAATCAGAGAAAACAGGTTTTCCTTTGAGGTGCTCTTTAAGGTGTAAGCGCTATCGCTTTGGCATAAGGAGCAGCAACCTCTACTCCGTAGGTTGCGTGAGCGTTCCTGCACGCTGACTGGTTATTCAGGATGAATACCAAGCATTGATCTCCATTATAACGAATGGATAAGACACGGCGCCCTCCATCTTGTGCACGTATGCGTTTTATTGGTGAGGGTTTTAAAGTTTAAATTGCGGTCGTCACACCAGACCGGTGCGCGCACATCTCGTATACTGCGCACGGGGAAATTAGTCCGGCTGAAGAGTTTCTTGCTCCAGTTTCTCTCTCTTTTTAAGGGAACATTATTGAAAAATTGTTCGGACTTGCACAGCCGTTGGATGCCCTCAGTCTGGAGTGTCTATAATCGCGCAGCTGAACTTGCCTTTCAGCCGTAAGTTTCATTTTTTAAACAAAATTTATACAGATCACAATAGGCCTACCAAGAGTGACAAATATGAAAGTGATTTTGAATACTATACTATTTATTGAGTTTTCATAATACAACAGGTTGTCCAAACAAAATACATAAACTTATGATCGGTTCCCAGTCAAATTTTGGAACCTAGTAGGATCTTTTTATTGGAAACTATTCATTTTAGGTATATGCCCTCAGTTTTTTCATTGACATTATTTGTTTTGTTTGTTTATCTATATGCATAGAATTCCAAGAAACAAACACATGAGGACTGAGACGTATTCACTCGGCAAAGACGAATAATTTGGAAGCCATGATGCCCTGTTTGGAACACTGCCTACAAGAGTGCGTCCATGATGAGTTCGTGTAAGGAGTAATTCAAATAGGGTTTTGTTGAATTGGTTAATCTGTTATTATATATATATATTTTATAATCGGTATTGTCGCTCATTTGAAACAAACCTTGAGTAAAGTTGTTTGATTTTGATTTGATCTTCCAAGTGAAGAGGATCAACTAAAATCAAACTGATCCTGCTATTAAATGCATAATGTCCTAAATTTTGCCCACGTGTGAGATTGTTAGCTTGTTTGGTCTATTATGCCGATTAATGTCAATGCTCATTTAAGTTGCATATCACTTTTAAAAAAAATTTTAACAAACCGGGCGGGTTAACCCGAAATACAGGTAGGTGAAGTGTCAAGGGTTGTTATGAGTGTATCACATCACAACCCTGGACACCTGACCCATCAAAACAAAAACTGGTTCATCTGGGGTATGATTACTATCTATGTTTTTCTCCACTAAAGAAATATTTAATCCTATGCTAGTGGATTGCAAGAGAAAGCAATTTGTATATGATGTATAATCAACTCACAGACGGGCTACAGTGAATGAGTAAGCATTCATGTTTTTAGAAGGGTATGCGGTTACTGAAAAACAATTGGTAAGCGGAAATATCTAATGTGTAACACGAATTACTTTGGTGACGTAAAGATTAAGTCCAAGTTGAATTACATGTAGGCCTACCGCTGTTTATTAATGTTATTTTACCGTAATCAAACTGGGAATGGCTGTGTTCTCAATCAAGAAACTTGACGCAGCCGCTATTTATTTTTCTTATTAAGTTTCCACGACATCTGTTCAGCGCCGCTGTGACCTGAAGTTTTATGGCAATTTAAAACTTAAGACAACACGGCGCCTCGCACGCTCGGTCGAATTTTTGGGTGTTTTAATATAGCAAACGCGGAAACACGGTAGCATGATGCCGTGCGCAACCTTGAAGGAAGACAGTGATCTAAAAATGATGAATCATTTGGTTAACGGTATTTGCGGCATCTTCTCTTCCCTAGATCCCTACGGCATATAGGTACAACGTCTAAAACAGTTTCGTGAGGAAAAAGCTGAGTGCACCTTTTGCACATGCGCTGGTGTATCTTGAAGAACTGACGCACATGTATAATGAAGACGCGTGCAAGACTTTCAAGACATGGGAACTCGCCACCCAAAGTGCAGGAGGGGCTGCAATTAAGTGGATAATCACGAGATGTTTTTGAGGGGAGCTAGGCGGTGTTGTCAACTGCTTTCCGAAAACCGCTTAGTCAGCTTAGACTGCAGCTCTGGGTTCTTTTCACGGCGCTGCTTAGCATGCGATTTCCCGCTTACAGAGGCTCCAGATCGAAAAGCAGTAAGCAGTACGCACAACCAAAGGCATATTGCTAACCTGCGAGGAAAGATTTGCTTAAATTTAGTAACGTAACAATAGAAATCGCTAGGCGCAAGCAACCGACCGTTAGCACAACCATGCCAAGCACCACAATGAAATAGTGTTTAATTAAGGTTAACCAACTTTTCTGCCAAAGTTAGCACAACCTTTTTGCTAACCGTTAAGCAGCAAAATTGGGTGGTTTCATTCTAACATACATTATTAGGTTTAGCGCGTCCCGGGAGACATAATAAAGGGTTGATTTTACCAGGTTGGGTGCTTAATGCTTTCAAATGATACTTCAGTGGCTTCCTTGACTCATGCTTCACCGATTTGAAAAATGGCACATCAAAAACCCATTTGCGACACGTAAAGACAATAAGCGATCACCTTCAAGCTTGGTCAATTGAAGGAATTAAGTAAATAGGCTATATATTTTAATTAAATAAAATGTTTGGATAGAAGGTTTTGCTTGGTCGAGAAAACAATTTTCACACAGTGTGGATGGGATATTATTATGAAATATGAATATATTTTGGGGCAGTGGGTTGATACATTGATAAAATGTATATTCACAGTTGAAACCATTTAGTCACCTGTTCAGCAACTTCTTGCTTCTTGTGTTTCAAAAGGTAAAATTTCCCAACTTGGATTTAATTGTGATGACTTAACCTGAAGTGATGACAATTGTGACCAGAGGAATTCCAAAAAGTATCATTTCACGGCTCTTTGCTTCTACTCTACGGTAAACACAGTTATACTTATATATCGGACACAACTTGGCCAAATTAACCTTTATAACAGAAACCTGTTTGTTTTTCTTGCACATAAAATGACTCACGTATTGGCGCTAGTTATTCATGATACCCAAGGAGACAGCGTGTGGGTAGAAAACTGATGGGGCCGGCCAAAGGGGAATTGGAAATAAAGGATACAACCACAGAAAAACAATAAGGTTTAAGGAATTCCAAAATCGGGCGTATAGCTAAACTATATTTGTATCAATGAAACGTCGACAGGCCTGAGCAAAAATCTCAAGAACGGGAATTTCCCGAGAACTCGCCAAAACTGCTCACTGCTTCAGTTCTGTTGATAAAAAAGCGACATCATCAGCTGTGCTTTCTCCGATACAACATCATCAGCACCCGACCATTGTGAACGGACATATTCGTGGGGCAGTACACTTTCGTTCTGCGTTTGTCACTTACGATAGATTACTTGAACTGACAACGTTGGTGCGGCGTGCAAACAGACATTTATTCCTGAGAGATGTCCTGTTGAGAATCACAAATGTTTGCATCTCTATTTTTGAAAAAAAAATTGGGGATTGGCATGCACGCCTGCGCCTGATAGAAATGGAGATATTTGTGTGTCAGAAAAGTGATTAAAAGCTTTTCTTGGCATGCCATATCCGTCAGAAATTGAGAATTTTTTTTTATTTCGAGATGAAATTCTAGATTGACACCTCATACATAAATGTGCTATTCGCGAGTCACTATAGACATTAGCCCAAGGTATCACGACCGACCTCAGGGCCAACTCTTCCGCCAATGAGGTACATGCGTAGGTCAAGTCGTGCAACACAGCAAGGAGGTCTGCAAATTCGGAAAGGAAGACACTTGACTGAGTCCAACATTATCAGCTGTAGCTCACTCCGGTAGGCCTTTGAAAGTAGTCTTTGGTGAAGTGGACTTGGACGCGATTGCAACAGATAACTTGACAGCGACTTGTGGGAGCAGAATGTAATGCTAGGGAAGGCATTTAGCCCACCCGCACCTCAAGGTGTTGGCAATAATTTCTCATGGAACTTCACGTCACTACCCGTTTGACTTACTAATTCTGAGTTCATGCAACGCTATGGCCTTTCGAATGAAGCCAAGTTATGTCAGATCGGGGTATATTTAATACATTAAAAAAAATTCACTTTCCCATTCAAATGTTTCCACCAAAAGCCGTCGAAACTCATACACATCTCTTCAAATCAGACGCCTTGTGGATTTAAGAGCATGCAGTTACTTTGTCTCGAAAAAAAATCCGACCATTTTCACCACCCTCACATCCTCCTGACGAAAACGACTCAAACGCATCACGCACTTCGCGTGCGTCAGGATATGGCTTACCGCAACCTCGACTCCCGCAGCGCAGCGTACACCCACTCCCGCCAAGACACACAGAACCGTTGCGCAATGAAAACAAGAGTCCATTCTCTCGTTTCCGAAGGGCGCACCCCATAGATACCCGAAATATATGTCCGCCGAGCTTATTTATGAAAGTTATACACTCAAGATATTCTATAGGCCTATTAGAGAGTCCCGAGAGCAATGGAACATTGGAGACTTGAAGAACTGGTACTGACCCGTTAGCCTTGACTTAGAGATCTAATTCTGAGCAATTTGAATGCAATCAGGTCCGACTGTGGCACAATTTAGCTGTTTTGCAGAGGGATGCTTTTCAAAATTACTACTTTCCCGATTAGGGTATCCTTGGTTTTAGGGGTTGTATGCTTTAGGTACGAATCTCTCAAAAAGTCATAGGTCAACCAACCAAACTTGAAGGGAAAATATAAGACGACATGTTGATCATCATTTTAGCGGCCACATAGGGCACATAGCGGCCCTAACACCTGAGATAGTTGTATTTTTAAAAGTATTTTGTCGTATAGGGACTTATCTATGGGAATTTACTTACTGGGGTGCACCCCAAAAATGGTCTAGCCAAGGGCAAGTTCAATTAAGGATCACTAGTTAACTAGTGGTTGATTCTTGACGTACCCAGCGCATGTGCAGTGAAGTTGAAGTGCGAACGACCCCAGTCAACCGTTGTCAGGTCATTAGGCCGAAGGGGAGAAAGGTGGCCGCAGGAAAGGGCAAAATATCAAAAATAAGGTGAAAAAATAAGAAGAAAAGTTTCTTAC